ATTTTAGCAAGGTGTTAGATATATGCAAAATTTAGCAAGGAATTTTTTTTGTTAGAACGTCGAAGGTAGTTTCATAGCCGAATTCTTGAGATATCGGCATTTTTTTAAAAAAAATCGTGATTTGCACGTTACACCTGATCCTGCAAATCTATATTTCTAATATTTATTAGATAACTATGATTATAGCATCTATATATCTGATATATTCAATTAAGTTATTTTTTCCTATTGGGCTTATCATGTATTTGTGCTATCTAATACCAGTTTGCATTTTTTTATATATTATTAATATTTTTTACAAATACTAATAAAATTTACAAGTCTTTGAAAATTTAACAATTATTGTTAATAGAAATTAAACCCTAGACTTTTTACTTGAAAGAGTGACAACTAGACCACTTCACTAAGCTGCTATATATATTCTTTTAACATAATCTTTTAAACTAGCTTATTATAACTTTATATATATAAATTTTTTAATTAGTATATATTAATTAAAGTTTATTTAAAATCAATTAAGATTATAAATATTTGAATTAAAATTTATATATTAGGAGCTAACAGAAAAGACCTCATTATAACCCTCCTGGAGTTTGTCAATTGATTACTCCCAGGGTTCTAGAGTCAGTTATTTGACAATTACAAAAAGTAGGGTAATTTAATAATCTAAATATACAAATTTTATAAATTTTATATACTTCTTGCATATTTTATATACCCTTGCATATTTTATGCACCTTGCATGAACATGCATAAATATGCATGAATATGCACAAATATGCAAGGGTACATAAAATATACAAGAAGTATATAAAATTTATAAAATTTATATTATTAAATTACTTTACGCTTTATAATTGTCAAACGACTGATTCTAGAACCCTGAGCGTAGTCAATTGATAATATTCAGGGTTATAATGAGATCTTTTTTGTCAGCTCCCATTAGTTAAAGTTTATTTAGAAACAATTAAGAATATAAATATTTAACAATTTTGTATATTAAACTTAAAAAAAAATAATTTATAAAAAAAATCAAATATACAAAATACAAACTAAAAAATTAAATTAGAATAATATTTTGAGTATTATAAATTTAATATAACAATATTTAATTAATAAAATTCTTAATTTTTTATTTAAACTAAAATTAATTGTAATTAAATATTATAATTTACTACTATATTTAGTAAATATAATATAAAAATAAAATATAGCCAAACCACTCTATAATTATACTCTTGGCTTTAAGAATTTGGTGTTTATTGAAATTTGTTTTATATAGAGGCGAAATTTTTAAGTATTCTATAAGTTAATTTTTATTAAATTTGTATAATTATATACAAATATGACTATAGAAAAAGTAACTATAGAGGGAACTAACTGTATATAGTAATTTAATTTTTATAAATAAACTATTATTAAATTATATAATAGATTTTACTTTACTAAACTATTTTTATAACAATATTATAGCGTTTATTAATATAATCAGATATAGCAAACCTCCCTATAACCACACCCTTGGTTTTAAGAATTTGGTGCTTATAGAGAATTTGTGCTTATATAGAAACTAAATTTTATAAGTATTATATAAATTGATTTAAAAAAATTTATGCAAATGCGGCTATAGAGGTGTTTAGAGAGGTCTGACTGTATTTATATCTTTATATTTTATCTATCGATATGTATACTCTACTAATTGACTATATATATCTATATTTATATAGTTATTTTCTTTAAATTTAAATATAGTAATATTTAATATACACATAATTAATAATAATTATTACAAAATTTAAATATAACACTGAGCTAGGTTTATGATTTAACAGGTTGGGCTTGGGCCTAGCTATATCCAGTACAACATAGCCTATTTTGAACTTTGGAAACAAATAAAAATAATAGAATGTTAAATGCAATTTATTACTTTATAAATAAATTGCCTTTGACAAAATAATATATTAAAAAAAGATTTGGATTAACAATAAATTAATTCATTTTAATTCTCTTATCATTCTTTAATTTCTCCTTTAAAACTGTTTTTAGAACTTTACCAGTCACACTTTTTGGAATTTTATCTATAAGCAATATGCCACCTCTTAACTTTTTATGCGGTGCAACATTTTCATCTACAAAAAATTGAATTTCTCTTGCTAAAGATTGAGACTGCTCATACCCGTTTTTAATTGCGACATATGCTATAGGAATTTCGGTTGCTTCTTCTTCAGAAAAATATCCTAGTACTACTGCATCTGCAACAGCATCATGCGTAAGTAGAATATATTCCAGTTCGGAAGGTATCACCTGAAAACCCTGCAAATTTCGATTTTTGCGTCAGTCAAATTTAACGTCATATAGTGTGAAAATGATGATAATTATTATAATCGTACTTTGTAATTTATTAACTCTGTTTTTCGATCAACAACAAAGTAGTTCCCTTTATAAAAAAAAGGAAATTATAATAATGCAAACATATATATATATATTAATCAATAATAAAATATACCTTGTTCATCAACAGATACAATATCTCCTGAGCTAAAAAATCCGTCTTTATCGAAAACAGCATCTGTAGCTTCTTTATTATTGAGATAACCCTATTTAAAAGTGTAAAATTTTTAGTACAAGTAACATAATTATATTAGTATAATGGTTATTATACTACATACCTTCATAACATTTGGACCGTGAACCCACAATTCCCCAAGTTCGTTGTATCCTAATTCTAAATGTAAATTAAAATAATAAATTTTATTTGAATTTATGTCAAGAATAAAAAATATATATATAGTTACCACGACCATCTTCTGATAATATTTTAGCCTTCATATTTGGATAAAGAATCCCACAAGAACCTATTAAAATACTGTTATAGTAAACCATAAATATGTAATAGTAAATACATCATTTAATAATATAATACCTGGAACTGTATTTTTCATTGTATCAAGACGACACGTTACTGCAGACATTTCAGTAGAACCTTTATTATGACATAAGAATAAGCACCATAATGAAAGGTATGACAGTTCAGAAAAGAAGTTACATTAGTTCAAACGACCTAATGATAAAATTTCTTACCATAACCTTGAAGAACCGATATTTTAAACTTTTCATAAAATTTTCTTTCTAATTTATAATCTAACCGAGCTCCCCCGCATAAAATACTATCCACACTTGACAAATCAAATTTTTGAGTCAATGGATTATTGACAAGTTCAAGTATAGTTGACGGTGTAGCATAAATATGGGTAATTTTATATTTTTGAATTGATTCACAAAACGTTTCCAAATTGAAGCTTGAATGAACGATTGCAGTAGCACCCTATTTTATTAACGCATAACTCTTAATTGACAAAGTAATGACGAAACAGTATCAAATACAGAATTACATACATAAATTAAGGCCGAATGAAGAATACTATGAAGCGCATAAATGTGACAAAATTGCTATATTTTTAAAGAAAATTATTCTAAATAATTATCTAAAACCTGAAAACATTTTAAGAGGAACCCTTTTATATGACTTACTGTGACACCCATAATTACACTATGTGGTCCAAGTTTATCGTCTACACTAGTTAATTGTGCTAAAGAAGCAGTTACGTTTGTGTGAGTACGTTCGACGCCTTTTGGCTTTCCGGTAGATCCAGAACTGTAAACTATATAAGCAGTCGTTGATTTTGCTTCTTCAGGAGTATAATTAACCGGCTCAATTTCACGATCACAAGTTAAAATAGAGCGATAAGGTTTATATCTCTTTATTTCTTTATCACCAAACAACAATACCCTGAAGGTGGGAATTTTTGCATTGATTGAAGCTTCAATAGCGGCTTCAAAAAATTCCGGATGCACGATTAGAATCGATGCACCTGAATCGGTTAAATGATAAGATAATTCCTCTATTGTTTTATATTTCGGATTAGCCATCGTTACTTTGCCTCCTATAGACGCATAAACATAGTTTAGATTTGAAAAACATTAAAATTATTAATTTATATGAAATTATATGGTACCAGCTGCAATCGTTCCAAAGAGTATAATAGGATAATCAACCTTGGAAAAAAATAATTATACGTATCATCAAATGAATGAATTAACAACTTAACTAATGAAAAAGTTTAAAGAGTACCTGATTAGACGAAAATATCGCCAAAACATCCCCACGTTGAAGTCCTAACTTATCCTGTAAACCTGCAGCAAACTTTTTCGATTCATGTTTAAATTCGCCAAAAGTGTAACTTTTACCAGTAATACAGTCCACGTAAATAATCTTATCATCTGAAATTTTGTATGGATTACTAGTCACATATTGATAAATTCCGACTTGAGGAATTTTTATATCTGGATATTTAGATTTAAAGATCATTTTTATGTTATTTGGAATAAGTTAAGTTCATACTATATATATATATATATATTTATTTATGGGGGATTTACAAATAAGGGCCAAAATTGAAAATAAGGGCCAAATTGAAAATAGTTACAGAGGCCTGATGTGAATTATTGGCCTTAATTTGTAAACTCCCCTATATTTATATATGGTACAAGCGAAGATGGGGCCCCTATTGCGTTACTTGTGTCAATGTTGGCCAAATTCATTAATTTAATATCTATTAGATCATATACTAATAATTATGTATAACAATTTGGATTATGTGTATCAAAAACTCAAAAAGAATCACGATACACGACTATAGAGTACTTGTTTAGACGCTGCCGGCAAATCATTTAGGCAGGAATGATTTTTTATTGAAAAGTTAGCAGAATACATGAATAGTAAAGTGAGCAATTGGCCATATTGACCGGAATGGCAATGACCACCCGCGAAAGTAGCACTTGGGGTCGCCGTGGGAGCAGCCGGTGGTTTCCCGCTTGCCGCATCAAGCTGGCTGAGCGAAGAAATAATGGGATCACGTGTTCCCTGTCTAGGAGTTGGTAGGGTGGGTCGCGAAAATTTTGGTTCGAGCATTAATTGTTCAGATTCTGCCGTTCTTGATTCTTCCTGTTTCCATTTGGTTTGCGCCAATGCTTGTGTCATTCACATGTGTTGTCCAAATCTTCATATGAACTTCCCACGCTTTTGATTCTTCACATGCGCGGGCATTCCGACACCAGCGTCGTGTGGCTGTTCTCTTTCGATCACGTGATCTACCATCACTCCGCACGAATATGTATGATGATTACGTTATTAATAAAGTACTGACGTATGTTTATCGGAATAATCCAGTCTGATGTTTAATTGAATTTTAGTTGTGATTTTATATTGTTAACATTAAAAATCGGGAATACATAATATTATATATAGAAAGTACGGATCCTATGCAATACTGACATATCGACATGCGCTTTTATGTTTCTCGTATGAAAATGCCCTATGTATGCTAGCGAAAGGGTTTCTTATGAAATTTTGGTACGCATAATTACACAATTCATATTTCCTACAATGCTATATTGCAGCGGTTAGATGACTTTAATGTAGTACAGTTAAACCTCTAGAATATATTTAGAAAATAATGATAAAAACTGCATATTAATTTAAAGAGATTGAAATTAAAGAGTTTATAATAATGATGGAAGACGAAAATATTCGTTATTGTTAAATGACGAAATATACGCCATTAATCGTCATTGATTAATGATGAAACCATTTCGTCAGGTAACTTCATGATGATGAAAGCCAAGTTCATTTTAAGTAGTAATATGGTTACCTTTTTGATTCAGTTAGTAATTTTTCAATATAGATATCAAAGAACGCAATTTATGCAGTATGTAGATTAATATGGGAATGAAACTGGCGTTAACGAGCTTCCTAATTTGGGCAAGAATCGTTTTAGATTTAGCAAAGGTTATTTAATAGGATTGGGTAATTATTATTAATTTTATTTTTTGAAATGGTGCAAAATTAAATGAGCACGTGAATAAGATATAATTGCAGATCGATTTAGTGGTGAAAACAGACATTAGTAGCAATAAGGTAGAATAGAGAAAAAGTGTTGTTAGCAGGACTTCAGGCACTATAGTAATATGCCATTATTTACTGAGCGAGCGAAGATTGTTTAAGGTGTCATTGTTTGATCTGTCAAAAATTAGAGTTTATTACGGTATAATAAATGATACAAAAGTAGCAAATAGATGAATAAAGAAATCTACATAATTTTGCAAACCGCAATAAAATATAAAACAATCATATAATGCTACACTATGATAGTAAATCATTTGGTATCTAAAACCCCATTATTGTCTGGACTTAAGTTCCTCCGCACTGCTCCGGAAATTAAAAAAATCAAACGAAGTAGTAGAAATATGTTTATTATTAATATTTTATTAAAGTTCTTACTCTTTAATGAAATAGAGTACAAAAACAAAAGACCATGTTGAAAATAACTAATACAGTAACTTTCGATCACATTTAAAACTTAGCTTTACGCATTTTTTATTTTTTAATATAGCTCTTCTCAACCTCATTCTAAGCTCAGTTTTACATTTATTATGTTTTGCCTCACTTCGCTCGGCATAGATTTAAATTTGAATAGCTTGTCCTAAATATTTCGATTAATAAGTGTTCTTTATACTACATGCGAATAAAATAAAATTTTAATGTTTAAATACTTAGTTTAATGAATGTTCTTTATTATATGCTCTCAATCTATTATAAAATTAAATAGTAAATATTCATGAGTTTAGACAGTTTATTTTAAATATGTTTATTAATAGATATTATTTGTACCCATAGACTAAAATAAAATTAAGATGAGCGAAGATTTTTTAATTTACTCAATAAATAAAACAATTTTCTAATTTTAGAAATTAGAAGTTTTGATCATCGATAAAAAATTTTAATCAGCGATGTTTCAGGAATGATATCACCAATTGCAATGCTTGAAGATCCTTATAATTCGAGTTTGAAGATCAAAATTGCACAAGTAGTTTCCGATATATACTCATTTAATTTCTGAAAAACTTTAGATAGCTTTGAATTTGTTGTGAATATATATCGATATATTTTCTGATTTTTAAATTCAATTGATTTATTAATATGTTTGCATGTCAAAGTTCTTTTTATTCACCCTCAAGTTATAGCATTATTATATTTTGTCTGATTACTTATCTTATGTCAGTTCATATCTTTCATATATAAACGAAATATGTTAATTTAGAAAGCGAAAATTGTTTTTCTATGAAAAATTCCTTTATTACTATGTACACAAAAATATGTTATTACATAATCCATTGGAAGATTATCAGGTATTATTATAAACTGTCTATATTTTCTAAAACTGGACAACAATTTCCGACTTTATTCTGGACCTTAAGGATGGTGCTGGTGTAAGTTAAGGCTTAAAAAAACAAGCCTCCGTTCGTACGTACGTCGTACGATAGTCGTACGATTCTGGTCACCCAAACCATCCTGATCTGTAGGTATGTACTCCTTATTATATAATTGCATTTCCGAGCCCGGCTTGCCAATATTCTAATTACAAAATTTTAAACCTAAACATAAATAAATGTAAGACAGTGGAAATAATCTTACGATGAAATTTCCTTTTTATACTTCCATGTGAATCATACATGCGTTAATGATTTGCAAATACAACATTTTGTGCATATGTGGAACTTTCCTGGAAATTTACACATTTATTAGGAAGTTGAATCATGAAAATACAAAATACATTAAATACGTATACTGTATATTTATAAAGCCTTTTTTTGCATTTTGATAAGACATTTCTTTCGAAATTTTATTATGATATCATCAATACTAGTTATATTCTGTAACAAGCATTAAATCGAAATTAAACATGGATGTAAAATAACTGTAGACCTTTATAGAATCTTTTACGTTTCTGGTAATTTTGAAAATTTATGTGAAAATGTTTGAACTTATTATGGTTATATCTTTAATTTCTGGATATAACGTCAAGCAATACAAATTAATTGTGAGGTATTGGTCATTTCTTGTATGACCAATATACGTATTATCATTTAGCATGTTACACAATGATATCCATTAAAAATTTTACTTTCACGTGATAATATTTGACAAGCACCAAAAAGTCTTTAAGCTCGTTTGATTTTAACTAATGTTTACGATGAGTATAGGGTAAAGACTTTCAAGGAAGTTTTTTGTAAAGCACAAGAGCTCATGTAACTTTTTAAAATTTTTGAGAAATAGAGAACGTCTTTGTGATCTTGTGATACGTTGAGACTCGGCTATTTGGATAATCCTCACGTGACAAGCTTGAATTTAAGTTTTCTTCTCAACCAAAAGACTTTGTTTAACTCTTCATGAATAAATAATTTATGATTAACCATGACTCATTTCGGCATTTTCGATCACATCTCCGTATTTAAGATCACAACCTTTGAATAAAAAATATTAGTATGGATGTAGAATCGATCTTTATTATAATTAATCATACACAAGTTGGTAGATCCGTCTTACATCACAACGAGTATACTTGATGATCAACTAAAATATTTATCAAACAAAAATGCATAATATAGCGAATTTTGTGACATGTTTTTTCTTTAAATAATATTACTAAATTTTTAAAATGTCTCCTGGAATTTGGAATGAAAACCATGTAGATATTAGATATTAGATATAGCGTAATATAGTATGAACCTCGTTAACTATATGTTACTATACAGCGCGGACCAGTACCCGGTGTGATACAAGATTTTTAGCGAAAATTTAAAAATCACATGATTTTCGCATCACGACATGCATAAATAGTACGATCTACATTATTTGTTACACGGTATTATCAGAAGTTATAATATATATTTTTGCATAAATATTATTAAATATTTACAGCACATACAATTTAAATTACGACAATCCTCTTATAATTTTATCTCTACTGTCACTAACTAATGATTGCCAGTTCTAGTACAGATTCCTGTGTACCAGCACCAAATAATATACATGTATTGATGTTACCAATTTCTCAGTTGTCATCAAATTAGTTGAGAATATGGTCAATTATATCGGTAATCACCGTTATGAAAAAAAATCAATCATTATATAATCCAAGTTATATATTTACTATTTATGAATTTCAAGCAGGATTTTATCACAAGCTTGTTAAAAGCTTGATATGCTAATAATAAACCAAATATTTATTATAAATTTCTTTAAATCACAGACATCGGTAATCTCCGTAAATAATTTACTATAAAGATAAAAACCCCTCCTACTGAGAACTCATTATAAATATTCTTAGCTAATATATTTCATACTTTAACTGCACATACTGCATACCGTATCCCATTTAATTAGTATTTAAATGGTATTGGGGTACTATTCAATTGTAAATTCTAACATTTTTGAAAAGTATCCCGGTATTAATCAAGTAGTAATTT